CAGTGTCTCTGTCATTGGTGTGGAACCCCAGGGTTCACCTCCATTGAGTCCCAGTTAGGGCGGTTGGTACCTTCCAGTGGACTCACCACCTGCAGGAAGGTTCAGGGGGGTTGGTACAGTGTGATTTGGGTGGCGGTCGTGGAGACTGCTGCCCCCATGACCCGGTAACAGATAAGCGGACGAAGATGGATGGACATTTAGTGTCTGTTATACATGTTTGTTGTTGAAGCCAAATGTAATATCCCAGAAAATACCTAAAAAAATGGGCCAGAAATGTTCTAAAATTCCTCAAAAATGTCTACATATAAAAACTTACACAAAGTGTCTTCTAATGCAGTTATTCCAGCTGTCTCTCTCAGTGGGACCAACTGGTCCCTTCTTACCAAATATGTGTCAGTTAAATGAGGCCAAAGACATTACGTTCCCCCTGCTGTAGTGTGTGTGGTGTCTCAGGTGTGTGTGCTGCTGAATGCAACCATGTGATGCTCTCTGGCCCAGATGAGCCGCCTGTGGGCTGCAGCAGGACAGAACCTACAGCCCAGATATGCTCCACTTACAGGCACGCTGACGTGAGACGATGAGACGGACTGGAGTCTAAAACCCTCCAGTCATGCAAAATGCAAAAGAGATATGACTTTATTACATCTCTCTATTGGTGACACAACAATCTGTTCAGCCACCAAAGCTCAGTGCATTCTGGGAGAGTGGGAGGAGCTGTGTTTGATACCTACTGTGAAGTCTGAACCACAGCTTTGACCAGAGAAGCAATGACAGCTGACGTTTATTTCTTTGTTGTTTTTTTTCCCAGCCATAGCAGTAAATATTAGAATTACAATACAACATACCATCGTCATTTATCACTGGTTTAGTCTCTAGTTTATGCAGCGTATGCTGTGTGTTTGTAGTATGAACACACAGAGTGTTCCTAATATTGACAGAATTGTGTTTTATTTTTGGCTCGTACAAAGAAAACATTATGATTATAGCAGTTTCTTACCTTAATAATTACCCTAATAATATTCAAATTATTAGTTTCAACAAACACACCTGTTCTTTAGTTAGTAAACACATAAGATGACCGTGTATAAATGTAAAAATATGTGTGTATATATATATATATACATATATATATATATATATATATATATATATGTATATACATATATACACGTTAACTATAGAGTAATGTAATTTTCCCCCCATAGGACTGTGGATCTAGGTCAGCTACATTATGTTTTTGTTTCCCCAAGTGTTGTGACCTGTATAGTTTCCAAATGAACGACATGCTCTGATCAATAATCTCTAAACTACAGGACGGTCGTCATATTTTCTCCTGGTCTGTACTTTGTAACTGACTAAGAAATAGTTTCAACCTGGTTCAGTTTCTATTTCCCCAACTTTCCAAATACCAGACGCAGACAAATTCACTGAGCCACGTGTTATTTATAGGAAATCCACACTGTGTTTGACTTCCCCTCAAACCTCAAATTGTCCACCAGCAGGAGTCTGAGGATGGCTGTGACTTTCAACACACAGTCAGCCTATTAAACCAACTTTTTTCTTTCAAATATTTTTCAAAATTATCAATGTTCTGTACGATTGTACGGCAGAAGTCCAAAATTAAAGAGAAAAAAAACTATTTTAACTTCAAAAGATCATATTTCTTTCTTTTTTTATAGTCTGTCCTGCCTGTAGCCCAGGGCTATAACCGTGTCGAGCACCTTATAGTATGTGCGGCTGCACCTCCCTTCCTGAACTACACAGAGTACATTTTAAAACTGTTTTTTCTGACACAAGTGGTTATGATTGAAGCGTTTGATTACATTAATCATAGCTTTGCTATGGATTCATTGGGATTATTTATAATTTATTGACACAGTCGTGATTATTCATGATTAATCTTTATTTTGACTTTGACAATTATGTGATTGTGATTACGTAATCAAAATTCCTAACTATGACAACATTTTTGTTTTAAAGTATTGCTACAACAGAAAAAAATAACAGCAGGTAGATGTGTTTCACACCTGTTTTTATTTGTGACTAAACCTAATGATGGAAATAATAATAATAATAATAATAATAATTAATATTATTAACAAAAGTAATGATTTTTAGTCATTTCTGTCCATCTTGATGGTTTTTAGAACACATCGACTTTGGTGAAGCTGTTTTTCTTGACAATATTAATCCACTGTAATCCATTTGGTGATTGTGTCATGATACCAAACATTGACAGATTAAAGTTTAAGTATATCATTTTTAAACCTGTAACTGAAGTAATAATTTGTGTTTCCTTCCACAGGCTTTTGGAGGATTTGAAACTTTTTCAACTGCATCTGTCCGTGAGCATCCATCTCCCCGAGCTGCATTTCTGCGTTGACATCGCCAGCGATTGCATCTGTCCGTGAGCATCCATCTCCCTGAGCTGCAATTCTGCGTTGACATTGGAAACAAGTAAGTACAGTTTACAAGACATTGGTACTCACGCACTTGGTTAAATCAAAAGTTTGACTCACAACAAATTGGATTAAGTTGGTTAAACAAAGACGAAAAGTGAAAGTCAACAGAAATGAATCAAACTTGAGCCAAACATAGTGACATTGGACCACTGAAAAGATAATGACAAAATATGAAAATATTTAAAAATATAATATTATCTACTAGCCCGTCATACATCATTAATAACACTTCGGCAAAAGTTTTAGAATACTAAAAAATTCAAAATGTTTTTTAGATGTCCTATCAGTCCTAAGTATGTAACGTTCACTATGAAGCATTACCTTCAAATGTTAAGTTGAATTCTGACGTGTTCTAACTTCCTCGACTGCAGCGTCATTACACACACATTTCTTCTTAAATTGTATTTAATCCTTGGTTTCTGTAGGTTTTCTTTCAACCTATTTCTCTGTTTTAGTTGTTTTCATTTTCATGTTCTTCAGTCAAAGCAAACGTTCCAAGATCATTGACTGTGTTGTTAACGTACAGCTGCACTGACACAGACGTGTTGACAGTTTAAAGTGGTTGTGAACTTTGACCTTTCAGCATGTTGTTGGTTCTGGTTGATGAGTCAACATCACCACAGAACTGACAGCCCCTCTGATCACACCAGACAGCGGGTGTGTGTGTGATAAGAACTCACACCAGACAGCGGGTGTGTGTGTGATCTGATCGGGACCTCTGGTTGTAGTCACTTGTTGTCTCTGATGTAACGGTGCAGAACATGTTCTCGGCTGTAGGCAGATCTCCTGCTGTTGCTGTTGTTCGCTGGTGTTGGTGCTGCGGTGACTCACAGAACAGTTGATTCTGATGGACCTTCTCTGGCTCTCCGTGTAGATCTGGATTTGTTTCAGATGAAACTGTCTGTAAATCCGGCCTGGTCCAGAAAGCTGAGGACGGTCGATATAACTGGAACACACACACATTTGTTTACATTTAGTTTGTTGTGGTGGAAATTGCATAGTCGTATTGATTGATTCCCTTGTAGTAGTAGTGTCTATCCTAAACTGTGTCTGCTAAGTTGACCAGATGTCCTGATCCTGACCTATGAAGTAGGGGTGTGAACATCTATAACCGTCTGTAGAGATGGAGGGATGTTGTAAGTGTTCTCTGCTGAAGAGTTTTTTTTTTGTTTTTTTTTAGACTAATATACTTTATACTTCTCTACCTTTGGTCAAACTAATTTCTCTGTGTACTCTGTGTAGTGCGGTTGATCCGTGTTTTACCAGGTTGGTGGAATCTCAGTGTGTGTCACTGCTAAATTGTTGGACTGTTCCCTGGTCGTATACTCAGTCATTGTTGGACTACAGTATAGGAGCTGTAGTAAACTGAAAACAACGCCCTCACACTCACAACTAATGCTACAACTCCACTGACCTTTATGTGATTCCTTGTGGAAAAATGATATTCTAACCAAAAAGAGCAAAGACAAATACAAATCAGTGATTTTGTTTTTCTCACTGTGATACAATTAAAGAATTTTTTTTTTTTAACTTTACATCCCCCAAACGGGGCCCAACCCCCACTTTGGGCACCGCAATTCTACAGTGGATAAGAGCAACATTAGCTCAAACAACGGCGTTGCCTTGATTTGTTGAGAACTTTTCACATTTCATTTAAAATATACTGTATCTTTAACTGTATCTCAGGGGCTGGAGTGCTGCAGAGGACCGTCTGGTTTAAATCCAACCCAGACTCATAATCCCTAATCCCAGGTTAGGTTGTCAGGAAGGTCATCCAGTGTAAATATTCACTCCAATCTCCCTCAGATGTCTGCTGTGGCCACCCCTGATAAAAGAATGAGCCAAAAGTCATTATTCCAAAAGCTAAATCAATGAAGCCTGTTGTGTTAATTTAATCATAACCAAAGCTGTGAACTTAAAAAAGTCCAGTTGTAATCACAAGTAGAGCTGAGAAACTATTGCCTCAGTCTAATTCCTGGTATTCATCTGCAGCCTGGAGTCTGTCTCTCAGCAGATGTTATTTATTTTATTTCAAGCCTTTCTTGGTTCATATGTGCAGTCATCTGTGATACTTGTACTGCAGTAATGGCACAGTCTGATTATGAGCCTCAGGTGTATTTACCTGGCAGTGAGCCACTCAGGCTATCAGCTCACAATCCAATGATCTCCGTTCAGGGAGCACTTGTCCTTTTCCGCTGTGTCCACCGCGGATTCCACTTGGAGTCGCTGACGGCTCAGTGGTTGGTGTGTACAGATGATGAGATCCCAGGACTTTAGATCGTGGCTTTGTGGCTGGATGAGCATAGAATTGTGCTGATGCTCAGCCTTGAGATTTGAACTGGAAAGATTCAGAAAGAAGTACACAAACTGCAACACACAAGTATTGATGGGAAAAGCGATGGCTCATTTAGCAGGGAATACACCAAGACGTCAGACGTCAGGTGATACAGTAACAACCTCAGTGGACGTCAGTGGTTGGTCAGTGATTGTTGTATACATGATTTTTTACAAAAAGTGATGACCATTGAACAAACTCTACATACTGTGCAATATCAGCAACAGGTGTTTGACGGATCATTTTTGGCCACAGAAAATGATTTTATTTGGGAAAAGAGTGCTACTCTACTGTAGCAACACATTTTCATAATGTCACTGTTGAGGAATAAAACAGGGCTACAACTCAGGACTTCTTTGGTCAAATAACCAGATGATGACCTATGTAGTCATTTGTTGCCTTTGTTCGTACAAAATATATGTTTGTTTCTGCTTCAATTGTTTGGTTCAGTGTGTTTGTTATTTAGGCCAGCTCTGAGATCGTTTAATTAAGTCTGATACCTGCTACAATGACCCCGACGTCATGAGGTGGAAAACATGGGTTTGTTTGCGGCTGAGTTCTCAGCTAGTTGATGTACGCCAGCGTTTTCTTCTAGTTACGCGTGATTGATGATGTTAAACTCACCAGTTTAGTTGCCTTTCCATTACAATTCACGAGATCAGTTAAACCAATCGTGTGTTGGAGATCTATCCCTTATTCATATTCAAGTCCTTCATAACTCCTGGGGCAGTGCTGTGACTGTCACTTCTGCTGACAGCAGTGACACTCACCTACACCATTGGGATGTGATACATTTGTTTGTTTTTTATTCTGAAAAGTAAGGGATCAGCGTTTTGTCATATGGAGAAATAAGATTTTTTTTTACATCAGTTAAACAGCTGATATTGTTGCAGGATTATATATGAAAGTGTTATACTGCAGTTCAGTAGGTCATCTTCCATTTTGTTTATTTATACAATTAAGTCAGAAATAAGATAACAAAAACTAATGGCACATTTAAGGTTTTCAGATATCACATCACACACTGCAGAAATGAAAACACTTATTCAGCAGATAAAAAGTTGCTATTGATTTCATCACAGATCCCTGCAGACTGAGAAAGTGATACGTCCACATTCGCACACACACACACTGTGTACAATCCATGTGTACAAAACACATTTCTTCTGGTTGTATGCAAACGTAGACTTTGTGCCTCTCTGTTGTGGGTTAGTCGCTGGAGCTACTTTCCAATTCAGTCGATAGGCCTCCATTAGGACGGGGTAGGCTGTCAACACAACCCGTGACCTTCCCTCGCCCTCGTGGAGCCCACTGGCCTGCGATGTCGGTATCAATATGAATTTCAGCCTCCTTTAAGCTTTCAGCTGCGATTCCCGGTGGCCATTAGTCTCCAGTATCTGTTTCCTTCAACTTGTGCTGTATTGATTTTGCTGAATCTTAAAGAGGGTGACAGCTTTGTACACAGGGCAGTTTCTGACATGCAGCTCATCAGTGTTCAACTGTATGATTATCGTAACCCCTGTTGGCCTGAATGGTTCTTTACAGCTGTCATCCAAACCTGGATCAGATGACATGCAGTGTGAAGTGAGCACGGATTTTGCCCTTGTGCTCTGAGAGGTCAGGGCTTTTAATCTCCAGGGTCATAACAAATTGAACTGTAGTTGTCAGACACAGAGGGCAGTCACAGCAAATAGAGATGTACAATATGGTAATACTTAAATTCTCTCATCAGTCAGATGAGTGATGAGTACAGACCAAGATGAAATACTGAAATATAAAAAGTACAAGCTGACACAAGTACTGGTATTTTTATTTGCATATTTGCTGAGACCAGGTACACTGGTGTCAATAAATATGCTCACATACTTCCACCTCACTCTGAGTTCTGCTTTGCTAAAGTGTGATGACATTTGGTCACTTTACAAAGCTGCGATATCATGTTTGCCACTAGGGGGCCTGCAGCCAGGAGATGACATGCTCCATTGTGCAGTCCAGCAGCTCCTGTGGCCAGCTGGCCTCTGGCTTTATTTATGTGGTTAGCATTGGTGCAAGACCTTTTCATCAGATATGCTGGTTGTAATCCCTCAGCCCTCCTTCACTGCTCAGAGGCACTCTGTCACTGCAGACCACTGAAGTCGACAGATCAATAAGTTCTCTGAAAGCCTGGGGGGAGCGTCCAGGTCCCTGCAGTCACTCTCAGGTTACGTGTCATAATGAATGGGCTGTTGTTTATCTTGTCAACTGCTGCGTCACTCTGTCTTCAGAACAAACCACCGTCTCAGACAGAACTAGTTGAGCACCAGTGATCTAATTAAGATTCAAACAGGTTCAAAGTTCTCTTATTCATATTGTATTTGCAATACATAAAGAAAAAAAAATGTAAATACAAAAATGTTAATTTGTGTGCAGTAAATATATGAATTGTGTCAAATGCATAATTAAAAGAAAAAGAAAATTTGATTATAACACCCATTTATGCAGTTACCATTCAAAGATTGTACTGTGAAGTAGAATTTCCAGCTGACCCTCTGGTTGTCTCAATATCTGTTGGCAACAATTTCCAGATGGTGATGCAACAGGTCTGTGACCAAATTGTGCCTAATTTGCTTGTTCTGACAAATACGTCAGGTACCTGGAGCCAGTTTTTCACGTACAGGGAAGTCTGGGCTGTCGAACATATGTCTGTATTTTTGCAGCGCTGAAGTATTTTTTTTCAGCTGTGCAAAAATGGAGCTGTTCAAAGACCAATTCATTATTGTGGGACTTTAGGTCAGTTACTGCTGCTGCACTTGGCCGCAGCCCATGACTGTGACACAGCTACAGTTGAGCTGCCACATACTTTGTGGAAAGGAATCTGGTGGATCTAGAAGCCAACATCAGAGTTAATGATTCAGAGTCTGGCTAAAGACTAAAGTATCTGGTTGCAGATCATTGTTAGAAAGGACAAAAAGACTCGTCATTGACTCTTATACACAAAATAATTTTCCAAAAGTTCTTTTGGTCTCTCTTAGAAAACACCATTTTTTAGTTATTAAAATAATTCTCAATCACCAGTGGAGACATTAAAATGACTCTCATTGATAAAGCTGGTGGAGCACTCTCTTTCCCAGGAGCATCACTGAGGGCACAGCGTCTACATTATCTACGTCCATTTCTTACATACAGTCTATGACTCACTGGCAGTCATCGCAATTACTGCGTCACACGCACTCTTTCTGGAGGGGGCTTTTACAGTAATTGGACGCAATCATAATTGTTTCCTGATAATTCACACAGGGGAGAGGTTGCAGCTTGATTTTTCCTGTGTTGACTAATTTTTCAGATGTTATTAAACTCCTCTTCAAACTTCTGGCTTCAGTTCCAAACCGAGCCAGTGGTGAAAGAGTGATATAAGAAGTCCAGTGAGAGCCGACGCTCTATGATGACTGGAGATGATATTGTGTCTGACATCGTGTCAGGATGTTGGAGACCGAATGAAGGTCTGAAGTGCTGCAAACAAGAGGCTTTATTTATGTTCTCGCTGTGATTTCAAATGACTTTTCCAAACTCCATATGCTCTTAACTCTGATGGTAAGAGCGAGTCTGTGGTGCTCGGGTCACGTCTCCACATTTGCATGCGAGTGGCATGAGAGCGGCTCCCACCACAGTCTTTCCCTGGGACCGTGTTATCAGATGCAGTTGGAGATCAATGATTTCAAACAATAGCTCAGAGCATTTTGTCATTTAGCGCTGAATGGAAACCATGTGCTGTGTGGGTTAGTGGTGGCCACAGTGGAGAAACGTGCTGACAGCTCTGGACGGCCTTGAGATGCACATCAGCCCGGGACCCCTCTGCCAGATTCACAGCTCTGTTTTCTTCTGCTTTGTTGCCACCGTTGGCAGTAAGTCAATCGCACGTATTAAACTTCCCCACAGTTCCTCACCAGTCATCGATAGCCATAAACGAGTGCACATGGTGTCTCAGGCCCAGAGCGTCTTTTTGATCAGGTTGAGGATCTTAATGGATTTCTCTGTGCCTCTGACAGATGATTCAGGCTCGGGGCAGAATGCGAGCAGCCGCCGGGGTCATTTGAACCTTGTGGTTGCCAGAGCAGAGTGCTGAGGCACAAAGAGCCTAACGCTGCCTTCACAAGTGTCCAACAGCAGGAGAGTCAGGAAGTCTGGCGACTGTAAACCCCACCCGACCCTGACCTCACCCCCACCACTCGTCTCAGAGTCATTTCACGCGCACCAACGCTGGCTGTTAGCTGCACAAAAACCTGCACTGCTACACTACTGAGTCATCTTCAATTCAGAGGTGGATCGATTCTAAACCTATAATCCCTGATCATTTCAGGGGCCACTTAAAACCCAAATCTATTGGTCAGTCAGTGAGGAAAAAAATGGCCTTTTTGCTGTTGACTGCTGGAGGTTCTCTCTTATCACTATCTCAGATTTCTCTTTAATATTTGTCTAATATTTTGAAAATATCCAGACCTTGATTCATGGATGTGTCTCCACATCATCTTCTTACGTAATTAGCACTTGTCTATTGTCCATCTCCCCTCTCCCCCTTCTCCCCCCCACCTCGCAATTGGTGGCACATTCACAACTATAGCTCCAGAATGTAATTTTAAAATTACAGCCACCTCCACAATAGCTCTGTACCCCTGTTGGGGCTGCACCCCACTTTGGGAACCACTGCTTTATAAGGACACTATTCCATGGATCATATGCTCCAACGTCTTATTTGTCTCCAGATTGTTCTTTATGACTTAAAGAAGCCAGGAGGTTTTAATGTTAACTACACCAGTGTGTCAGTGATTTATCTGGCGTTGTTACAAATACATTTTTTGGGACCTCTGCCATCACTGGTGGAAAAAAAAAACGTTTTCTAGAGGAAACAAATTTGAGGTCAAAAAGTTCTGAGACAAATTTCAAAAGGTTTCTGATTTTAATGACTGAATAAAATATCGTATGCTTATGATTTATTTAATCTTTTCAACATTCAAAGATTAAAAAACAATTAGCCCTACCTTCAAACTATTAACCAAAGCTGAAAGGAAACCTATTCAGACTATGCAAAAAAATAAATAAAAATAACTTGATCACTTGGAAGGAATTGTACATAGGCACTTGGACATTGAAAAAAAAATCTTCCAGCCACCCTCACATGTTTCGGAATGCTAAAAATTCCCATGTGTGAAAACCTGGTAATGATGAGATGTAAACGTACCAAAACTTTAGCTGCAGAAACGATAGTCAGCAGTAGTTGGCAGTTTATACACTAATTTAATGGCCAAAGCTTACACTATAAATATATATCATTATAAAGATATGTAGTGACTCAGATGGCCATGTATTTATAAAGATATGGTTAAACTCCAATGGTGTGAAGGAGTTTACTGCCTGCTTATACATGAAAGTAACCGAAAAAATATATAAAATCTGATCTGTAATCTCTGTACAGTACTAGACAAGAAATGAGATTACTGCTGTATACGGTACTAGTACTTGCTCTTGGATGGAAGCAAAAACCTTGCATTACGCTGCAAACACCTGACCGTTGTCTCACGTGTCCTCCTCTCATTCCTGTAAATCAGTCCACTGCCTGTGTCACAGCATGATGTTAGTTTCCATCTCGTCCTGTTGCCGTCGTCTGTTTAAAAATACAAACTGACTGCATGTTTAGATCAGCGGCCGTTCTATTGTCTGCTCCACCATCCCAGCCCATTTTTGGGAATAATGGGATACTGTACTAGTGTTCATGCACGGCAGAAGTGGACAGGAATTCAGCAGAGCCAACAGTGGATTCATGAGACAGACTAAGTGGTTGAGTGAGCAGGTTAACGCTGACGGACCGTTGAATGGCTCTGACAGGGAGAGGGCAGTGAAAGGCTCCACACTGGAGAAGGAAATGACCCAGAAACAATGAGTAAGTACAGCGTTCTGGGCCCTTCCGGGAAAAAAAACCCAACTCTTTCCTACATCACTGATGCAAGTCCATATATATATATAAAAAACAACAACTTTTGTTTATCTTATTGTTGTTGAAGAGGAGCTTGACTGAGACACTTTCATGAACACAGGAAAGTGTTTTGGCTGAGTTTATTGACCAGGAACCAGAATCTTAATTTGAAGCAGAATTCTTAAAAAAAGAAAAAAACTTTCTCCATTCATTTCCTATTAGGCATAAAAAGGACGTCCACACACCGCACTTTTTTAACTGTTTAGTAAAGGTGTAACAAATGTCATTGTTTAATATGTATTAAATAGTAGTCTCAGAGTCAGCTCTTGAAAATGCCACTATTAAAATCATATAACATATTTAACCCCCAAAAATAAGTTGGCCAATATATAGTTAAAAATTAACTAAAATTTATAAGCATAATGTATTTTAGGTATTTAAGTTTTGTCAGTCCTAAAATAGCTTAGTTATAACTAAAATCCCTAAAGAAAAGCTAAACTATAGATAATTACACACGTTAATTATTGTTTTCATGAATCTTAAAAATGAATAAAATGTCGTCAAAAGTTTAATGTTTACCTTTTAAAGCCATTTGAGAACAAATGTTTTTGCATTTTTATATTTTATATTTATACTATTTTTTTTAGAAATGTGTAAAAATGTTAACCTTACAAATAACAAGTTATGACGCACACTTTAATAATATTGGATAGAAGATATAGGTTAGAAATGTAAAACAAAAAAAGGCTTTTATTTTATCTTCACTACATTAAAAAATATCCTGACGTCCTTTAATTTCTGTTAGGACACAAGAAGAATTTAAAAGATTTAAAATAACAAAGTAGTTGTTTGTGTTTCCGGAAACAACCGTTAACACCGCATCCGAAGAAGAAGACGTCGCTACACCTACTGCAGCCACGTCAAGAAAAAAGAAAACAGAATGAATCCAGGAATGTGACCAGTGACCAGGTGACACCTGGTGAGACATGAAGCTCATAGTCGGCCAATGAATCAGCGGGAACCTGGAGAAACTAAATACTACACGATCACGAAAAAGAGCGAATTTAAGAATTTACGTTTTATTGAAAAACAAAAACCCATCGTTGTCATGAATTTATATTTATAGTTAAACACTCTCCTATGAAAAAACATGTGACAAGGTCCATGAAAGTACGAAATAAAATATTATATACAATAAAGGGGTTTAAAGGTTGGAAACGCAATAAAAAAGAGATATTGCTTAGTTTTTTTATCCAGCAATTTAGTCGTTTATCGTCACTGTCTGCAAACATTTTTAAAGAGTGATTTTCTCCTCAGTTATAATAACACTACTGCTACTACTGATCATTACAATAATAGTGGGAAAGTGGCACATGCGTGTTTTTCTTTTTCTTTTTTTTAATTTAGAACCCCCTTTAAAAGAACAAAAAAATAATATAAAATAACATAGAAATAATTGAGTGGCTCGTCTGAAGCCAAAACACGCGTGACTGTGTCCACGCAGCCCAACGTCTCCATCAGTCTGCTTCAAACAGGCCATAACATTTACCAGAGTTGGAGAAGTAGATGTAGGGCGCCGCGTTGGCCGTCGGGTAAATGACGGGGAAAGGCATCGGTAACAAACATCCGCTCAGCAGACTGCTGCTGTTGCTGCTGCTGTTGCTGCTGCTGCTGCTGTAGCTGCTGTAGCTGCTGTCTTTGTAAAAAGTGGCTAATTGCACGTGTTTGGCCGCCTCGGAGAAGTGCTCGGCGGCCTGCAGCGGGCCCTCCAGGTCCGTGGACAGCTGCCTCTTCAGCTTGTTGCGACGGTTCTGGAACCAGATTTTCACTTGGGTCTCGGTGAGCTGCAGGGAGCTGGCCAGACACGCTCTCTCCGAGCTGCTCAGGTAGCGCTTCATGTCAAAGGTGGCCTCCAGCTGGAAGATCTGTCTCTTGGAGAAGATGGTGCGAGTCTTCTTCTTCACCGAGGGTTTGGTGATGTGCTGCGGCTGCTCCAACGCGTCCTCCCCGCCGTGCGCACTCGGCTCACCGGGACAGGAGCCTGGCCTGTGAAAGGAGCCGTTGTCTCTGGGGTCTGCATGGAAGTCTCTGGACTTTACTGTGGGGGGAAAAAAGTTCATGAATATGTTTTACTACAGCTGTGATTTATGGCACAACGGCTTTTAACGTGCGTAAAACCCGAAGAGAATAAGTCCAAACCTGAGGATAAGTAAATAAATAAAATGGAAAATCACTCCAGTGCACCTTCTACAGTCGGGATTTTTCAGAAAATAATTGAAGAAATATTGCTTTTTGTTTTCATCACAGTAATAACTATTAAAAATGCTTTTTAGCTTTATTCTTTATAGCATTTTACGCACGGATTTCCAAAACATAAAAATGATCTTACTGCTGTTGGAATAGAACTGAAAACACCCGAACTTTAGCAACTCAGTTAAATACAGCTAATGACTTAATAAATATAAAAATCGCAAGCGATAAAAAAGGCGTGTACAAAAACAAGGAGAGTAAATATTTAGAAACAGCTGAACAGGCAAAAACCAAAGACAGAGGAGTGATGACATTTGTATAAAGAAGAGACCCGGACAGGTTACCTGTCCCGTCTCTCCTCTCCTGTCCCCTCCTGACCTCCCACGTCTCCTCACACTGCGCTTGACTCGCACTCCTCCATCCAGCGGCTCCACCGCGTGTCTTTGCGGCTCCACGCTCTCCTCCGTCCTCTCTGTCCTCTCGCTGCTTCAGGTTCAGGATGCTGTCGATGGTGAAGGTCAAGGACGCGCTCCTTCCACCCGCTGCGTCCCCTTTGCTCATGGTCCCCAGCAATTCAGTCTCCAGAGAGCGGCGGCGTCTGCGGACGCTCCGAGCACCATCGCTCCACGGCTGCTACTAGCGCACGGAGGGGCCGGGGGGGCGCTCTTCAAGCAGCCGGAAGACTGTGGTTTAGCAGCTTTTGATTGGTGAGGTGGAGGAGGCAGAGGAGGGCGGGATGCAGGTTTCCCTTCTGGCTGCCATATTGTTGCTTTAAATATCGTTCTGCCCCCCCCTCCTCTCTCTTCTTTTCTCTCTCCGTGTGTGATAGTTTTAGTGACTACATTAGTTTCGTTTGGAGAGTTTCTGAGACTGATTTTCAGCGGTGCTCTGTGGCCATAGAGCTGCCAGAGATTGACTCTATCCTCCGTGTGATAATCAAAGACTCTGGCAGAAACTGCTGTTGATTGTGCGTCACCTTACATCCCAGGGGCAGTACTGAAGTAAAACTACGATGATACTGCAATTATCTAAATAAATTCATGCCACATATTCCTTTGATGTGCGTGATTTTGGATGAATCAGGAGACAACAGCAGAGTCTGTGCAAATATTTTATTAACATGTCAACATGAAGTGTACAAAGTTGAGCATTGTAAGAAAAATAATTAAATACTAAAATATCACTGCATAGAAATAGCAGGTCTGAGCAGAAACAGGTCAGAATGACCAAGTGCCAAATCCATGATGTACATTTTTGCATAGTTGAGTATAAAATAAAGTGACTGTTGTCATTTACTTACTGACGTAGTAAATGTATATTGTCACAAATATGAGCTTTTTGCGATTTATTGTGAAATCCAAAACATTTATAATTAAAATGTCTTTATTTAGAAAAAACAAAAACATATGCTTCAGGTTTCACAAGCCTCCACATATCCTCGCCTCGTAACTTTTCCCACATGTACGTGGTGGTCCAGACAATAGTCCTAATAATCCCACAATGTGTGTCCTGTGTGATCCTGGCAGCCCTGAGCACAGAACTGTGGTCAACCCACGGTCCCCAGATATCCATCATAGGAATAACATTTAGCAGTGAATTGTAAAATATTTCTAAAAAAAATCATAAATGAAATAGTTCTAGTGTTTGAAGGATATTTTAGAAGCTACAATAAAAGGACCCCAAGGACATACTGTATATGCCTGATTCAAATTCTGTGTTTTAGAAGCTGGAAAAAATATCATTCTCCCCAGACTGAGAACCACAACTGAAGTGTCCATTTTAGTTGCATGTGTATTTGACAAATTTTTGTCCAAAGAGTCAATAGTACTGGCAGGACAACTCCAGTCACACCAACCCTGTCATCTGTGGCATCAGAAATGATAGTGGCTGAGAGAAATGAGGAGTCAGTGGATAGTTGATGATATTGGAGAAGCCCACAGTCAGTGGTGACCCCTGAGGCAGCCTGGTCAGTGTCACAGGTGAGGTCACGGGTGAGGTCACAGGTGAGGTCACAGTCTCACGATACAGCACGGGGACTCTGATAACTGTGTGTGTAGTGTAGGGACTGACAGCTGCGCTGCTGCTGCTGCTCCTGCTGCTGCTGCTGCTGCTGCTGCTTGTAGCCTCCATGTCCTCAGCCATCTGTCTCTTCCACTTGTTTCTGCGGTTCTGAAACCAGATCTTCACCTGTGTCTCTGTGAGCTGCAGCGAGGCAGCCAGGCCGGCCCGCTCCGTACTGCTCAGGTACCGCTTCAGGTCAAAGGTGGACTCCAGCTGGAAGACCTGACTGCGGCTGAATACGGTGCGGCTCTTCTTCTTTCGAGTTAGATTGGTTTCACCTGAGAGTGTGGAAGTGGAGGATTACTTAACAGGAAGTCACACAGATCCAGAATCCCTGCCTTTTAACTGATGGCAAAATAATGAATTGAGTCAGTTGCTAATGCCCATTCCTTAGCACTTGAGGGAACTACACTAGCTAACGTACCAGACTGGATGTCAACACAAGCTCATCCTAACTGTTATGCTGAGGTGAAGGTTTTTTCAACAGTTTTGTGGAGTTGGAGCATTTGACTGTAACTGCTTCTTGTCGGTGAAGTATTTTTTTATTTCTAGCAATACTTGGAATTATAGATATTTTGTAATACTAACACTACTACTCTAGTAATGAAGTAAAACACTTGTATGGGTCAAAGTTCAAACCAGTCAAAAACAATCCCCAACCTGTGTTCAACTGGGTTTTTCATTCATACTAGGTGCAAAAATTGGAGAACACTGGTTTTGGTTGTTCTGTCTAAAGCAGGTGTATAAGAAACAGAATAGAACAGGTGACGACTGTTGAAAAGCTACATCATCTCATTTATCTGGAGTCAAATGAAATGGAAGCTTATGAGCCCTGGTCTTCTGGTCTTCTGAACCAGGTACCATTAATAAAAAACTCAGCTGCAAAAAACCAACAACAATAACAAACACATTCTACATTGTAAGAATTTGTTGACAACCTAGTTGCCACTTGGACCAATAGTGAAGCTTTATCTCGACCACAGTCTCACCGTGGTCCAACCTGGGGAAATAGGAGGAGGGGACGTCTTCCTCCCTCTCCTCCATCAAACTGCATTCATCTTTTGACTTCCTGTCCTCTGTCTCCTCTCGTGGTCCTGGTCCTGGTAAACCTGGAGAGTGCTGGTCACTGCTGGTCAGAGCGGGGTCTCTGGGGTCATCACAGCCCAGACTGTGGGCTGGACCTTCCAGGGCAAGTAGGGGAAGGTACTTA